GACTACTACTACTCCTCCTGGTACTACTCCTCCGTTGCTACTCTTGCTGACGCTGATGCCGCTGCTGCTGCTCCTCTCTCTCAAAGCCCGCTGCCTGCACCACCACGGCAGAACGTCCTCCTCGAATCCGGCGCGGCTTCTTCGGCAGCTCCTGCGGACACTGTCATCGCTACACGCAGCAGATGGGAAGGTATATGGGGGTTGATGACGAACCTTGAAAGGTAGGGATGGCTTGTATCTAGGAGGACGTAGGAGGGTTGCGGCTAAACTCCCTCGGCTCTGGACCACCTCAAGCAGGATCGAAAGAGCGATTCATGCATCGACTGCATGCTGTTGGATGGTGATGTCTAACTGTCTGCATTAAATGATCCATGCTCCCGGGATCATGACCCGAGCTTGCGTCTGCAGGAATACGACAATGTTGAACTTAGTTTTGTAGCCGTCTGACAGTCATAGTCTCGGAACTCCCATTACCGTGCGGACGACAACAAGCCAAGAGTCAGTTACTTGTCTCGGATCATGTCCCACACATACCGAGGCAGCTCGCTCAACATGCTTTTCTGCACCCGCAATGATGTCCGGCAGACGTTATTGTGCGCCCGCGGCAACAGGATTACCCTCGTGCTCTAGCAATGTAATGCTGAATCTTGCATCTGAGGCCAACATGCCTCACGATTGGGAGTTCATGCGTATATGTCTGGGCCTGTGTGACCGCTAAAGTCTGAGCCGTCCCTTTCACCGTCTTAAGTCTAAGCGGACTGAAGATTGTGGTGAGAGGTCCTGCTTGCTGCAAGTTCAGTGCAAATGCAGCTCTAAGTAAGTTCTATGCGAGTCTCAGTCAGAGCCGCTGCCGCCACGTTGGAGCCGCTTTGTGCTACTTGTAGCCAGCGGGCGCTCCTGTAGCAGCAAACCCCCCCTAACTGTACCACAACCGTGTCCAGCAAGTATAGGCTTGCCTGAAAGTTGTCGATCGCAGCTAGGCTTTCGGGAATCTGTCCAATTCATCTAAGTCGAAGGAGCACCCCGACAACCGACAACCTAGCTGGTGTCCACAGACACTTTCGGAACCGAGACGCCTTGAACCATGCCTCCTGACTTGATTTGGTTGCAACCAGAAGGGCTCAAAAGTCGAGCCGACGCAACGTCTTGCCTGTGCCCGAACCGTGACAAATGTCTAAGACCCTCACGACTACAGAATGTCATTTTGTACGGGAGTACTCAGCCCTGCCGCACTCGCAGTGTTTCTTGCCCACCGGCCTCGTGAAAGCCTTACTGCGAGCCTAGATCACACGGCTCCGAAAAGGGCTCAAAAGCCCGCCATGGATCCAGTGTTCAAGATCCAGCGCACAGAGTTTTAACCCAAATTCAAGCAGAATGGCTCGAACTGCCTCAAACCCCACGCCCCAAGCGCAAACACATCCCAAAATTCAGATGGAATCGCGAGTAAGCGGTTCTTCACGCCCCCGCAAAAACCAAGCCGTTCATGACTGAATTCTGAGCTCACGTGAACAACGAAACTCCGCAATCCCCAACTGATTGCCCTGTGGCTGATGCGGTCCTCATCGTCTGCATCCGGCATTGCTTGAATACTCCGCCGGCTGGTGAGGCCTTGGCTGATTGAGCTGGCGAGGACAATGCCGGTAATGCTGTTAATGACGACAGTTTTGGTGGTTGCGGCCGCGAGGCGAAGGTTGGCAGACCATGATTTGGGAGTGGCAGCGTCAAAGATGTAAGGTGCTGTACTCAGCCCGCAGCGGTGCAGCTGCGATGTTTTGGAAAAAAACACACTCAGCGCTGCAGACAAAAAATCTCGTCGCTTCTCATATGCTTGGGTCGGTCTCTGCCGGTTTTACAAGTCCCTACTTGACCGCGCATTGTACGAGACGCACGTGGGCAACTCACAGCATGCCGCGTACATCGGCAGGCACGAGCTTGGCGGGATCTTGTCATGCTATGGCCTGGTTGGAGGTTCTTTCGTTGGGGGGGGGGGGGGGTTCGGTCTATGGCACATCTTTACTGCTACTTCAGGACTCGGTGGACCATCTTCTGCATCATTTTTGTGATGGTGAAAGTGCACAAAGCGCGACATCCATCGCAATTACAGAGTTCGAAGCTAAGAAAGAGCACAACACGGTTGTCGTGAAGGTACTGCAGGCTTGGGGCTCGGTTTTGCTCAAGTTCGGGGCGGGATTAGCCTCCTCCGAAGCTAGCCAGACGTCTGCGAAACATCGAACATGCCAGTCAAGGCTAGTCAAAGAGCACAAAGCTTCGCAGATACCGAAGAGGGCCAAAGGAAAACAAGTGGACAAAGCTTGAGAACTGAATATCGGGAAAAGTCGAGAAACATCAACAGTTGGAAACTTCAGAAACGCCTTTTTCGGAATAGCTGTGCAGCCCAAACAATAAATATAACCTGCGTCAATAGACAGTCGAAGTGCACAACAACCCAGCAACACATGTGCTCGAACGACCCGCTCTCCGACTACAGCGGTCCACTGCCAATGATATCTCAAGCACCTAACCGACTCCTGGCCGCTTGAAGCGTGCTTACATACTCAGGCTACAACATGGCGAAGTGAGTCATCAAGCAGCAAGCCTCGGACCCACTCTTCGGGCCATCCCAGCAGCAGCGGAAGATGAGTAATTACCGTTCTTTGCGAGTTGCCGCATACTCGCGCGCGCGCCATGCTGTGGGTAAATACAAAACCTCACAGCGAAGATAAACCAAACATCATCAATCCGGATTTTCGTTCTTATGAACTGAGATTCTAATCTCGGTCGGGAACTCGTGTTGTTCTCAGAAAGCAGGTACTTCGCAGCGAGTCGAGATAGTATGTCTATGATGCTACGATGATGGCCGATGGCCAAAGTCATGGACCAGTACTAGCACTCCTATTTATTTCTGCGGGCGTTATCGTGCCTTCGTCCGTGCGCACGCAGTTGGGTGCAGGTCTTGGATGCTCGCGACTGGGCGACTCGGCGGAAACTTGATTCACTAGCTCTCGGGCAGCGATTTTGAGTTTTCGGCGACCTGATTCTGTCCAGCTGCAGTCCATGCCGATGAGATCATCGAAAGTCTCCGCGAAGCCACAGGCGCGCCTTGGATTGTTCAGTGATAATTTGAGGATCTTTCGGGATGGTTGGGCTGCATGGAAGCAGGGCGGCCACATATCTGTCGCGGAAATCTGCTGGCCTGAATCCCAATGTCCTTATGCACTTGCTGAAATTCTCCAGTCATCATCGGGTTTTGATCCACTTCGCCCTCGAAGGGCAAATACTAAAAACAGCAAATCCAAACTGAGACCAATTCCAAAATCTGACTGGTCGGATCGTGGTCCAAAGCCCCTCGAAAATACCCTACTGCATCCTACTGGTCCTCTTGTTTATTGAACACGAAAGGCACCGAATCTGTGAAGCGATCGGGGGGCTTGAAGAAGAAGCCCTTTGGCTCCTCGATGGCTCGGCGTTGGTTGTGGACGATCCAGCCTTCAACTGTCAGGAAGCTGCCCAGTACACACACACACACACACACGCACGTGGTGTACACAAATGTATAGAGTAATTACATTCTACAGGGAAGCCGCAACGGCCTCGAGTTCCACCTCGAGATCTGGGAATCGAAACCCCGCTTCCAGCAGTTTCTGCAATCTCATCTCACTCATGGGCTCTTGCCAGCGATCTTCCTTTCGCTCCCTTCGGAAGCCCGCTAACAACCAGCAATTCAGGATGTAGAAACGGATCTCAAGGGTTCAGATGGGAATTTTTTGAGGGTGTATGTGAGGTGTACAGAAGGACAGCTCTTGCCAATGACCAGTAGGCCAGGACTTGGGAGCTCGCAAAGCCATCAGCCCCTGAACTCTAAGCCAAATTCCCGAACAGCATACCAGTGAAAGCCCCCCCAACACAAGTCTAGCAGCAGAACAGGATGGTGTCCGAGACAGTGTCGAAGATCATCATAAAAGGGAAAGCCTAGATTTCAAAGATGCTTCATGGCTGCTACCTGAGAAAAGCCTAAGATTTAGATTTAACGGCTAAGCACACACATTCCTTACGTGGGGAAGTTGAGCTTTACCATGTGCTTCCGATGGATGTTGCTTCAGCAGGACCTTGAGTCATGAGGTTGGCTAGTGCATGTCTAGGAGTTCGTCATTTTCAGCCTGACAATATGCAAGAATGAATCGATGCAGTTTCACATGCTTCTGCCTGTGGTCTCGCTGTCGCGCTAGAACCCAACCCTAGACCGACCTACCGCAGCCCCCAGCCTACATGGGCAAGGTTCATGTTTCAATCGTTTCGCAGACAGTTGCTGCATCATTTCAAGGCAAACCAGTTCAACAGCCCTCACATCCTTCATAAGGACCAGTATCACAGGAGAATCTTGGGAGCTGCTGACAGCATGCATCCAGTTCTCTGGCTAAACGGATGCCTCGCTGTAGGCACCCCCGAGGCAGAACCCGAAGCGTCTAGGCTAGGCAGCCTGACCCAAAACCTTACACTTGGATCATGAACAGCTGTGCCACCATGGTAAATGAAGCGACGGCGCCGCCTATTGCCAGGAAGGCCGGGTCCTGACGCTTCAGCTTCGTGTCGAGTTTGAAACATTAACCTCTTTTGACCCCCGAGCTCCAGCACCTGCATGTATGGTGTTTGCATGATCTGGCGCATCAGCTCCTTTGGGCGCCCACTGCGATGCAGCTTAGTTCTGGGCTTTGGGCAGCCGATATTTGGGCCTCATCACTTCGTGCATCAACTCAAACCGCTCCCAAATGTCCTGGACGTAAACTGCACTGTACGGGTCCAAGAAGCCAGGGTAGTACCTCTGAAGCTGGAGATGGCAGAACGAACAATCGCCATGCCATCTCCCCAACCCCGGGAAACGTGGAACAGAGACGACACCTCTGTCCACCCTTGGGGGAGTCCTACGAGCATCAATGAGTACTTCCGGCATGTGCAACACTCCCGCGCTACGGCTCTGTCAGCTTGTTTTAAATCTGCTTTGCCTCATGATGAGCCATGTCTGGAGGTTGCCGAGGAAGGTGATCGCTCCAAGGCCTGCAGCCGGCGAACAAGCTCCGGCCTAGGAAAGCTTTGGATACATTTTCCGGAGCTTTCCTTTCGCACATTTCAAACATCGACGATATCCTGTGCTGAACGAGGATGTGGCGCGAAGCCCTACAGGCCAAGGTAGAATGGAAGCCGGTTTCGGAAGCCCAATTTTGAGCAAGGTCGCAAGCTTGCATTGGCAGTTGGAGTGTCAAGCCGCTTCTAGTGAAGTTCAAGGAATCTCTGCTCCTGTGGCTTTAGTGAAGGCTCCTGGAAACGACCCGCCGGCGCCTGCAACTTGGAAGAGCCAAGTGGCGCCATTGAGGATGTGAATCGTGTCTGCCTGCACAAAGCTCAGGACGAGTTGCCAGCATGTTTAGAGGAGCTGAGGCGGCCACCGCCAAGGTGAAGCTGCTGCACTGTTCTCATATTAGATAGCATTCTCCGAGTCAAGTGTTGTCATACGAAAGCTCTGGAGTCCGTTGCTCAACTGCTCTGACCCCGAGCCCGAACAGTTGGATCTCGAGTGATTTAGGTTCCGACACCTGGCGCGAGCCTCCGCCTCACTCCACAAAAGCCAGAGAAACTGTACAGAGTACAACCACCTCATTTGCAATCCGGCCTGAAACGAATTCACTTCTAGGGCATGCGCAGCGGAGTCCCAGAAGTCGCGTGCATTGAGTGCCAAGTCCATGTAGGCATTTCGGCTTAAGGGCTCCAGATACCTTGGACATTGCAGAGCCATTCGTCTGCCATTAGTCATTGTTCTGAGCGTCCTCCACGACCATCAGTTCTGCTTTCGCTCATAGATGCATCTACCTAGACCTACCCTTGAACCGTGTAAACCTCCTACTCAATTCCGACCCCCGTCGTCCAACAGAAGTAGTCACACGCTTTGTTTCACGACGTGACCGATGGTTGTGTGGGAGTTGTACCGTAAGCCGTAAGCGACTATGTAGATCTGATCGCACATGGCTTCGCACAGCCAGCAACCAGCACCGAGACACTAGTTCTGGCCACTTCCTGCCCGGCAGAACAGCCAACAGCAACACCTTGAGGATGACTGGCCCCTTCTTATCACGCCTAGCGTGCAACAACCTTAAAGGGCACCGAAGCAGGCGTTGCTTGTTAGAGAATTACACTGCTGAAGACCTCACCCTACACAAGTGGTTTGCGAATTCATCCGACACGACAGATCTCTTGAACTCCAGGTGCAGGGTGTAAAGGTCCGACACGCAGTTGCAGCAGCAGCTGAGCACCGCCAATACGCTGTTACTCCTTGGACACGGGAGCTCCAGCTGCATCCATACACCAAGGGGCAACACAGGTGTTGAAAGTAGCAAAGAGGCTGTGGGATGCTGTGGCGGGTACGCATTTTTTACTTGGTGAACCTTTGGCCTGTCGCCTCACATTGCGTTTTCGGACTGCGCGGCTTCAGGTACCAAAGCCAAGAATTGACACGTAGGAAGCCATCCAAGGCACTCCATCTCCACAGCAGCATGGACGAATCCCAGCGCTAGTCGCAAGGGCTGAATCGAACCGACAGTAGCGCCGCCCAGGACCATGGTTCCAAAGTGGTATCCTAGGATTCAGGGATTGGGGCTGTCTTCTCCTTCGGGCAACCCAAAGTTCGACAGCTGGAGTAGTTATGATAGCCATATCAACAACCAGAAAACTTTGGCTCATGAAAGGGCGAGAAATGGCGAGCAACTGAGGCAGACGAAATATGCCCTCAGGATGGAGCAGCAGGGTGCATGACCAGTACCTTCCATGCCTCCATTAAAGAACCACTGTTCGGTAGTGTACATGATGACGAAGTCCGACAGTGCCGTAATGATCCAGTTTGTCCACAAGCACCAGAAAGCCACGATGGCACACATTCCCAGCCTTGGCTGCATGGCATCTAGACATGGGGCGATTCAGGTGCCTAAATCCTTGAACTCTTATCCGCTAGAGCTGTGTAAAATGCTACAAGCCTTTCGTGACAGGTGCTGCAGCTCGCTCTGCGGTGGTAGCAGTGTCTGGTATTGCATCTTGAATGTGTCCTTGTCGTCAAGCTCCGATGTCCAAATCCAAGCAATAAGCAAGATGCTAGCCCCATCCACCACACCGCGGCATGCAAGGGCCAGCACCGGTTCCAGCTTTAAGGAAGGTGTCTCCAGGACCGCCTTACAGGACCACTCGATACAGCTGATGGCCATCTCCACGTTGTGCTCCAGGTTACAAGACACAGCTAAGAAGGTGAGGCCGATGATCAAGAAGCCAAAGCCCGAAGCCCCATCGCCCAGCTTGTCTCCAGTGCTCATCGGGCAGTGCTCCTTCCTCCAGCACCAAATGAAGTATGCTCCAAAGCTCAAGGGACCGAGGATGAGTGTGGCAAGGCCTCCTCGCACGAGGATGCTCGCTCTGAATCGCAGCAAGGTTATGTACACGTAGCTCAAAACAATCCCCGTGATTGCGGCCACTATCAGGGGCTGGTACGCGTTGATGAGAGTGGCGAAATACCGAACCAAAGGAGTCTTCTGGATAAACTCCTCAGTCTGCATCTTCAAGTTTGCAACCCAGGGCAAACAGACCATGTTCACAAAAGGATGGGATGGATAGCCGCTGACCTCGATCAGCGTGAAGTTCCCGCGCCAGTCGCTGAGCACGATATTGTTGGTTCCTATATGCGGCTCTAACCTGTGGTCTGGAGCCTCCATGAGCCTCCTCGCGGTCCTCGCGCGCTGCGCCTCGCCTTCCTCAGAGTGGGTCACAGGCGCTGGATAGTCTTGGAATGCAGGACGGTACGCGCCGTCTGGCCAGTAGCTGTCGTAGGGATCATAGGGGTTGCTGTATGGATTGCTGTAAGGACTTGGCGGATACCAACCCGGGCGGTTGTATATCCCTCCTCTTTCAGCATCCTGAATCGGTTTCCAGTATGGTTGGTAGGGATTGGGGGGTGCGTATACTGGGGGCGCTTGGGTCGTCAGCACAGTGGAAGTGATCATGGTGCTTGTGGTTGTGATGGTTGTGAATGGACGATTCTTCACATTTCTCGGACATTCGTAGAGGCCCTGAAACTCGCGAGTTGGGCATTCACTGACGCAGATCGGATAGTACATGTTCAGGAGATCACGGTTTGGATCGGTGTCCCGAAGGCAAAAGAATAGCAGCGGCTTATCCTTTGACTCACCAAGTCCGCAGTGGTCGTTCCTCCAATCTGAAAGCTTGAGGAGTGCCGCCGGCCGACGTAGGGGGAAGACGTACATGCCCACTCGCGCCACCACGCAAGAATAGACAATGTAAATGATGAGCCAGAACACATCGGTACATCTGCGAGGCACTGTGTTGGGGCTGGCCCCGATATCATTCTCGTCGTAGCGATTGAATGCAAACTTGGCTTTTGTCTCGTCGGAAGATGCATCACTCACCTCGTCGCCCACCAGCAGAACCTGTCACAGATCACGAGTTGCGAGTTCTGCCGCTTTCTCCAGAAGCATGTGGCATATGATACATTGTACATAACGCATATGTAATGGAGTCCTTTGGAGCCAGCGGTTAGGTTGAAGTCAATTAAGGCATTACCGAAAAGTTTTCTCATTTGCACGCAGCATCGAACAGATGCTCAAAGCATAGCCGCTACCCACACTACAGTATCGCTACAGGCACCACCGGAAGATATTCTCCAAGACAGCGACAAGCAGCAGCTGCATCCCCCAAACCCATTCACGCAAAGCAAGGGGGGGGAAAAAAAAAGAAACTCAGTAGCCGTAGCCACGTCCCCAAACAGCATGTGCATGTACCACTGAACACATGACATATGCCCAAAGCAAGCGGCAAAACACAGTGGCACACTTCCCCAAGCCCCAACTACATGCGCCAGCTAACATATGCTCAAAGTAGAATAACAACAATAGCATCAACTACACCCACGCGAAAAAAAATATATATATATATATACACATACATATACATACACACACTCAACTCGCGCACTGCGCCTAAACGCTGAAGTTTCGAGCGTATGTGACCATACCTATCCCTCTCTGCTGTTTGTATTAGGACGATACCTGGCACAGCACGACGTTGTATGATTTTGCATGCAGTATAGTATACTATATAGTGTGGCATCATATAGCGTAGTATTGATGGGGCATGATTCGTCGACCCCTCGCCGAAGCCTCGTAAGCTGGAATCCCAGACGAACGCCCAGGCTTCCCGGACTAGAAACTTGCGACATGTCTTATAGTTACATGAGTGTTACATAGCTACATTGTAGTTATATCCGGTTTTTGTATTCAGAGCAAAGCCTCCGAAGACTTCCTTACCCAGTCCACACCACTCTTTGGAGCAGCCTGTGTGGATGATAGTTCGGTCGGTGCACCGTCCGCTATGCCCAGGCTCCTGCGGGTCGAAATCCATGGCCCTTTGTAAGGATCAAGAGTGGAAAGAACGGCACGGGGTGTGAAGAACAAATCAGGCAACAGCAGGCCATGCAGACCAATTCAAAGGTACTTTGACCTTTCAACAAGCAGAGTCTGCCACATGAGCAGTTGCCATGTTCCGTTGGTGAACCAGTGGTAACCACGGTGGTTAGTGGTTTTGGGAACTGAACTCTCACGACAGGGCAGGTGCAGGGGAAGTGCCATTGCCCATAGCACAGCAGCGGAAGAACACTGGAAAAACGAGGGCGAAGGAAGGAGCAGCAACAGCAACGACAGCAGTTCGATAAGGACCACAAGAAAGTTAGTGTGCAAGAGCGACGAAGCAGCACATACCTACACCTCGTCGCAGCCCATGCTTTTCATACGTGAGGCGTGAACTGCCAATCTTCTTGCATTGCCGCCTCCGCCTGGGGCACTTTGCTGTGACACAAGGCCGTCATCCAACAGGTCGCACTATGGCGAGGCCTGCTGCTGCTGTTGTTGCTGTTACTCTAAGAGATACAGCTACCGGCAATTCGCATCATCAGTATCAACGTTTTCACGAATGACCAGAATGGTTTCGAGAACAACAGCGATGAGGAGGGTTGGAGGGGAGCTGGCGGAGAGTTGTTGTTTGCCGGGACTCTCAACTTGAAATTTCCTGTCCTTGGCGAGGGCACTGGAGATGCATCTGACTCCTGTGCCTCGCCCCCAGAAGTGTTTCCCCGCGGACTGGCCATGGGCGGATAATCAATACAAGGTGTAAGATGCAGTTTAACCTAGACTCTACGTTATGCACTGCTCTTTGTAGACGTGGTCGTCCTCCGAAACAATGGAACGTCGAGTCAAGCTTGAGCTGGGCTCTTCTCTTGTAAGACCGAGCTTTCGACTTAACTTGCTTACCGGTCCGTGACTCCATAAGCCAAACATGCTGCCGGACGGGTGAGGCATCAACACGCTGGTGTCCTCTGCGGCGCTTCGTTCAATGCAGCACCGGCCCCTACGTTCAACCCCAAACCAGTACGCAGATTCTGAAACCATGGATTGAGAAAACCACTCATGTATCAGTAGAATCCGGAAACTTCAGTTGAGAGTTAAAGGAGCTTTGCCGGTACGAGTATGCTGCATGTCAGCATGTTAGTGGTCGAATTATCGACTCCCGGCACGGCGGCGTCCAGAAGACGGTCTGCGTCGGCCAGATCTCGAAGCTGACCCTTTGCCCTGACCTCAGTTGCTCACATGCGCACACACACACACATGTTCGACTGTGTGCATTGGCCTTAAGCTGTGCGTAGCACATGAGAGTAGATCCATGTCTACTTGCATTGTCACATGTACTCTTAAAAACAACCGTGTCCCCATATGCAGATATGCATAATCAGCAGGAATCGCTTGGCCTTTAAGGGGCCTCCATCCTGATTGCCACCCTGCCACGACGGAGTGACAGTGAAGCACTGTCACTGCATTGACAGCTTTTGAGTCATGCGGTGCATACGACGGGCTGCCCGTGTACCCAGGCAAAAGCACCCAAAAAGCGGAAGAGCTGCAAAGGCACTGCTGGTGCAGATCCTACTCAGCCACAGCTGGTGAGGGTGTCAGTGTTCGGTTGTCGTTCACGCGCGCAGAACGTACTTTAGGTCTGCGCACATCTCTCCGTAAGAGGTATCTGGCGACAGATATGACAGCGAGTCGTGAGTCTGAATATCGACCGGGTCATTTGCCTTGTTGATTCAGATTCGACGTTGTACAGAACGTGATCTTGCTGCAGTCATGTGTAGATTTCGAGCTTATTCGCCAAGTCAGAGAGACTGCAGAACCATGGCTGGAAAGCCTGCTAGGCTACAAACGCGCAGACAATATTACAAAGTGGCGGCCAGGTCCGTCACGGACCAGATCCATCTTTGCCCCCTTCTCTTGCTATTATATAAGGAAGCTTGTCGAAGGCACTTGCTCGATGAATTCCGATGTACGTCTCCTGTCCTAGTAGCCGATGCAGGCACCGAATTTGCGAGGCACATGTCTCAGCAGTACTACTCTTTCGACCATGCTCAATTGATTGCTGCCACCGGCTTTGAGCACTCAGCACAGCCTTTCATGCCATGCTGTGGTGGTCCGATGGTGGTTCGGTCTCCCCATACATGGTGGCTGGGCCTGGTTCTGCCAGCTGTTTTGATCGGAACTGGCAGCGCAGGATTCGGTTTGCAGACTCTCATTCGAATCCACGCTCGAAGGAGAAGCAGAACCAGGCAATGCGGGTGCAAGAAACCCGCACACGGCTACTGTCTGAACTTTGACGAGTCTTGGTGTCAGTCGCGCATGCTCTGCTTTGCTCGGCTTCAAGGGGCGCCTGTGAGACTACGGAAGCTTTCCTCCAAAAGCTTAGCCGCATTGGCGCCAGCCGAACCGGGCGCCTGGCGAAGTGCTCGGGTGCCTTTGACTCCACCTCATTGAGCTTCCGCTCCCACTTCGCCTTGGTTGCAGTTCTGCTTCCCGCCAAACCCAGGTCAGGTCACAGCAACGATCACCAATGCACGCGCACGTGGACAGTGCAGCCTGGCACTTCTACACTACAGCATCATCTGCCGCTGAACACTCGTGCCCTCAAGAAGCCCTCCACCATTTATTTCCCGGAGACAGGGGGAGCACACAGCCCGAAATCTTCAAAAGGCCCGTCGTGAGAAGGGTTTGGGCTCTTACGGCCAGTCTGTGGTTTGAAAACCTTGCCCATGGAATATGCTGCCGATCTTGTAGGACCGGAATGTTTGCAGAGCATGGCAGACGAATTCAACCACCGTATTCGACACCGGAAGTGCCAGAGAGCAAGCGCCCCAGGAATGCATCCTAAGAAGGAGTCCTACATGTCCCGCATGCATCCAAAGCTACAAGACAGATTGCTTGCCAGGAGTCTGGTGGCAAAGCTTCGGTATTGACACCACGCAGGTGTGCTGTGGTATGCCAGGATTGCAAATGCTGGCCGGCCCCATCTCCTTCAGGTCTGCACGTAAAGCTCGAAACAACCAGCAAGAACTAAACGGAAGAAGCGCATTACTTGTATTAAGCAAAAAAGCAAGGTCTCTACGATAGTCATGACCAGACGGGACGGCACCTGCTTCGAAAATCTCCAATGCCATGCGCATCTACTTCGGGGCTCTGATCTGTTTGGCATCCGGAATCCGAATGTATTGAAACTTCACGCACATCACTTCTGCCACCACTGCAACAGCTCAGGTGTAAACTACGTTTACGGTTGGGGCTGGGGGCGTGGTGCTCAGGATGGTCCGTCGGCATGGGTTGCAAGTCCCTGATTTGTTTCAATCCTGTCTCTGCCGGCGTTCTCCCAGGACTGAGGAGCGTCAGTGGCTTCATCTTAGGGTGTTTGTCTGCATGGTTCTTGACCCTATGTTTTCAGATCAGGTGCCTTGGCTCAACTACTGCGTTGCGGGCGCACTTGGCGCCGTGATACTTTGCAGCTTGAAAATGTGGAAACCATTTGTTTTTAGCATGATGGTCAGAAAAACATGGTTGTAGCGCCTACCGAAAAACTATCGTAAGTTGTTGTCATCATCATCGCCATCACCATGACCATGTGCACTGTTGTGCAAAGCAGCGAAAACGCCGTAAATACCGGTCCCTTGGGCATGCTCACACAACGCATCAACACTTCTGACAGTGCGTCTTATGCCTGCCAGAAGTGATGACCACCCTTCTGCTGTATGTCAGTGGTCTGGGCATGCGTACACAAGGGATGAATGCTTGTGACACTGCGTCGCGTCGAACATCCTTCTGCACTAATGATTCACTAATGTTGTATGAAGTCGCAAGAATCGCTCGAACTACCAGTGTTTTGGGCATGGTCGACGTTAGAACCGACGGTACGTCAATAATTATTCCCTGAACCCCATGGAATCATCCAAATGTCCTGCAGACGCAAGAAATCCCATGAAGGTAACACGGCGCCCTCGATGTACCCACTACTAAGGGGTTGGTCCAACGGAACACCACCCGCCCAGCAGAACCAGGCTCTACGAGCACTCCAAAGATCCCGAGAACTTACCTCAATGACCTGAGACGAAAGACCGAACTTCAGTAGTGTGGCTTGGTGCGCTCGATCCTCAACTTTTAACACTGCTGTAAAATGGAGCGCCTCGCTTGCAGCGCTTGTCACCGCGGCCTCACGTCGCAGTCTGCGATAGTTTCTGCATTGGGATGTATTGGGGCGCAGGCCTGCCTCGCAGCCGGAATTCGAGGCTTATGCTTGTGCAACTGCAGGGCCATGATTGCGCAGGAAACAGCAACAGCAGCAGCAATCGCAGAAACAACAACGACGACGACAAGAATAATAACAAGAAGAGTAACCAGAACAAGAACAACACCAATAACAACAAGAATCAGCAGAGCAAGACTAAAAAGAACATCATCATCATCATCGTCATCGTCATCGTCATCATCATCATCATCAGTAGCAGCAAAGCAATAACATGCAATGACTGCCACGACACTCACCACAAAAAACGAAACCCCTACTAGTAGGAATATCAGCAAATCAATCATGATGGCAGTTTCGGTAATGGCAGTATATGAAGGTTTTCAATTTTTGGCAGCCTAGCACCCAAGACCGCTTCGTCAGCGCTCATGATTATACACGAGTGTCTGACTTACGTCCACAAGGTTCTTGAGATAGCATAATTAAGGTATATTGCTGTTGCCACTGCCTAGGGGCCTAGCTGGCTTTTGGAGCCGCACTGCAGCAACATCAAACTGTCCTCGTCCTAGGTTTAGAAAGGTGAGGTTGATTTCGATTCGCACACTTCAGCCCACTATAGGTCACTAGGCTCTAAAGGGCCCTGGGGCGATAGGTTCGCAAACCCCGGTTTAAGTGCAGATACAGTGCCGCCTCTGGATTTTTGCGCGGCATTGCAAGCGCGTCAGGCTTGTCCATCCGACAAACCCTGTCACAACAGGTCGTTACATCGACTTTCAAATGACGTTGTGTGTGATACCCGTTTGTCTAGCCGACAATCCGGGTGCGTGGGGTCATGTACCCTGGGAATTGCTGGAACTCATA